CCTTTTATTTTCATTTTTYTTCATTGAGATAGTTTAATATATAGGATGRGCTACCTTTCTAAAATGTTTTTGGTTTGGTGTTTTTTGGTCATTTTTGCTTGGGTATTCACTTTGTTGGTTTTTCACTTATGCATTAATGATAACATTTTTGGATGTGTAACGTTTATATGGGGGTACATGATTCTATACATGGTGTAAATACTATTTTTTGTAAAAAAAAAAAAAAGGCAAAATTAATGAATAGGAATACTAAATATATTATCATTAAGAATTTTTGTGCATTAATCTGACCATAATTTCTCTGCAGATTATGATCCTATAACTTGAGTCTGTAATTTTTATTAACTAGATCAATTTTTGGCATAAATAATCATTACAGTTATCCTTATCTGATTTAAAGCCAAATGCATGCATACAAAAGGATCTTTCTGTTAATGGAAGATGGTGCTTTGGGGTGTAAGTTAGAAAAAGACTAATCATCTTATGCTCACTTATGTTATTATGTTTTCTTGGTTCCCTCCCTGAGCTGTGGACTGGCGCCTCCCTGGACTGACAGAGTTTATCTCAGGGAGGCCCTCACTGCATGACCGCCTCCTTTTGGTTACAATTCCCACTCTAAAACCTGTTRGTAATTCCTTTCAAATTCATTTTCTAACTAAATGATGTGTCTGACAATTATTATTTTATCTTACATTATCCTAGACCTGAGAACTATTGTGTTGTACCTTATTTCAATTGCTTATTAACGATTTGTCAGTTTTTATCCTTGTCTTCATGGTTCCTTCATTGTGTATTTCATAGTGACCAGAGTGATGCTTTAAAATATGTCATTTATATTCACATCCCTTTAAAGGCTTCTCATCCTTAAGAATAAAAGACCAAAATTTTTTAATTTGTTCTGATTAGTTATACATAAGAGTAGAATGCATTTTGACATATCCTACATAAATGCAGTATAACTTCTCATTCTTCTGATTGTACATGATGTAGAGTTACACCAGTAGTGTAATCATACATGCAACATAGGGTAATAATGTCCAATTAATTCTATTATCCTTCCTCCCCTTCTTTCATTCCCCTCTGTCTAATCTAAAGTATCTCTATTCTTCCCTAGCTGCCTCYMACCACCCCCCTTATTGTGAATTAGCATCCACATAACAGAAAAAACATTTGGTTTTTGGTTTTAGGGGGTTTGGCTTATTTCACTTAGCATAATATTCTCCAGCTCTATTCATATACCAGCAAATGCCATACTTCCATTCTTCTTTAGGCTGATAATATTCCATGTGTATATTTTCTTTATCCATTAATCTATTGAAGGGCACCTAGGCTGGTTCTATAGTTTAGCTATTGTGAATTGAGCTGCTATAAGCATAAAAAGAAGAAATGGGACCAAATAAAGACTGAAATCCAGCTAGATAAACAAGTTCTATAGTTCACATCCAGCATCAGAGTACCTGGCATTTTGATATTCTCCCCAATGTGCTTGTATTGCTCCACCTCTATGGCCTTTGAATGTTACATCACATATGGCCTCTCTTTTGCCTTGTTTCTTCTCAATTCATGCAGTTTTCCTTTGCAGATGTTCCATGGTACTGGCATCTCTTAACCTTGAGAGATCTCCAATGCAGCTTCAACTTCTTTTCACATATTCACACACTTCCATTTCTTCTTTTTATGCCCCTATTTCTCCCTTATGGAATGGAAATATCTATTCTGTGTCAATGTATCTTGGAGATATATATATATATATATATATATATATATATATATACACATATACATATATCTTTTGATCTTTATTCTCACAGTTAAGAGTTTACCTTGAGTCTCAGATACATTGCTGATTTAAACTTTGTGGCAATGCTGGAACCATTGAGACTATGGGGACTCTTGAAAATGGATTAAACATATCTTAACTTGTGATATAGGCATGAACTTGATGGGGCCATAGTAGAATATTGTGTTTCAGATACATGGTTTCCCAAAAAAGCTTATGTGTGATGCAATGTAAGAATGTTCAGAGGTGAAATGATTAGATTATAAGGGGTATAGCCTAATCCATGAATTAATCCACTGATATGTATTAACTGGTTGGTAACTGTAGGAAGATAGGGTGTGGCTGGAGGAAGTCAGTCACTGTGGGTATATATGCCTTTGGGACTTACATTTTGTCCTTGTTGAAAAGAGATATCTGTTTCAATCTACACACACACACACACACACACACACACACACACACACACAGACTCCTTCCTGGTTAAAATGTCTTGAGCTGCTTTCCTCTGCCAACCCTTTCTTCCATATGCTTTGCCTCAGCTCAGGCCCAGAGCTGTCGAGATGCCTGATCATAGACTAAATCTGTGAAATCATGAGCCAAAATAATCTTGTTCTCTAAGTTGTTCTTATTTGTCATTTTGGTCACAGCAACAAAAAGCTGATTTAAAAGTCCAGTAATTGTTTGCTGATGATATCATTCTATATTCAGAAGACCCCAAAAATTCTACCAGATGACTTCTAGAGCTGATAAATGAATCTAGCAAAGTAGCAGGATACACAAAAAACACTCAACAATAGCTTTCCAGTACTCTAACAGTGATTCATCTGAAAAAGAAATCAAGAAAACTACCCTTTTTATAATAACTTCAGAAAAAAAGAGAAACATTTGGTAATTAATATAACCACAGAGATGAAAAATCTCTACATTTAAAAATATAGAAAACTTGCCTGGCATGTGTGAGGCACTGGTTTCGATTCGCAGCACCACATATAAATAAATAAATAAAGGTCCATCAAAAAAAAAATGTAGAAAACTGAAGAAAGAAATTAAAGACTTCAGAAGACTGAAAGGACTCCCACATTCCTGGATAAACAGAATTAATATCATTAAAATCGCCATACTAACAAAAGATATAAACACATTTAATGCGATCTCCATAAAAATTTCAATGGCATCCTTACCGTAACTAGAAAAGAAAAACAGTCCTTAAATGCAGGTGGAAGAATAAGATACTTAAAATAGCCAAAGCAATTCTGAACAAGAAAAGTGATGTAGGAGGCACCACAGTACATGATCTCAAATTATACTACAGAATTATTTTTTTAAAGAGAGAGAGAGAGAAAATTTTTTAATATTTATTTTTTAGTTTTCAGTGGACACAACATCTTTATTTTATTTTTATGTAGTGTTGAGGATCGAACCCAGCCCCCTGCGCATGCCAGGTGAGCACGCTACTGCTTGAGCCACATCCCCAGCCCTATACTACAGAATTCTAATAACAAAAACAGCATGGTATTAGGATCAGAGTAATACAACCATTATGGAAAGCATTGTGGTGATTTCTCAAAAAACTAGGAATGGAACCACCATATGAGTCAATTGTCCCACTCCTCGGTATTTATCTGAAAGAACCAAAATCAGCATGGTATAGCTATAGCCACTTAAGTGCTTAATAGCACAGTTCACAATAGTCAAATTATGGAATCAACCTGGAGACCTATCAATAGATGAATGGAACAAGAAAATGTGGCATATATCCACAATGGAGTTTTAGTCAGCCATAAAATAAATGAAATAATGGTATTTGCCTATAAATGGATAGAAATGAAAAAAAAATCATGCTAAGTGAAGTAAGCCAGACCAAGAAATTCAAGAGTGAATGTRGAAGCTAGAACAAAATAAAGAAAAGAAGGTCATAAGAAAAGGAGATCATTGCAATAGAAGGAAAATGAAGGAGGAAGGAAGGAAGGGAAAGGGAAAGAAGACTGGAATGAATTTACCAAAATCCTGTGGTATACATATATAAATGTACAAAAGGAATTTTCACCTTTAAGCATATGTAGTAAATGCCAATCAAAAATAAATAAATCAGGGAGTGAAAGGAAGATCAGTAGAGGATAGAAAGAAGAATATGGGGAGGGGGGAAGAAGGAAAAGGGGAAGATGGGAATTAAAATCAAACTCTTTACATGTATGATATTTTCAAAATGAATCCAAATACTTTGTATAATTATAATGTTCTAATTTTAAAAAAGCAATAACTTAACAGCTTCCTCCACTATACTGATATAATTTTCATACTAAAATTTTCTGCATCATTTGGACTGAAATCATCTTTAATTCCTCTTATTCTTTCAATAGTAACTTAGTTCCATATATTTATTAAATTTGCTATTTTTCTTATTATTTTGTAACTTAGAATATATTTAGTGGATTGATAAAATGCTTGTATCTGTCATCTCTGATCTCCATTAAGTCTTAGAAAACATGACTTATTAACCTTGAAATATCAAAAATTTATATTTTCATTGGTTCCTTATTCAGTGCCACATTATGACTTTGTTTGGCCCTGGATACGTTTGTTTTTGTGCTCCCATTTCTTCACTTACAAAAATTTTTTTTTACAAATGTGTTGGTATATAACATATGTGATCTATTCTTGGTTTATTATTAATTACTTTTCTTATTAACATACTCATATTCAAATTTTTCTTTGCTTTTAAAAGAAACAAACATTAAAATATTTTTATTTGGTCCTAGAAGTCTTTTGGGCATCAGTCAGTGTATGCACTGTGTCTAATAAATAAAAGCCTTGACATCATTGCATACAAAGACAAATGTTATCTTTTAAACATAGTTCTAAAATTTTTACTGTTGGGTAACTAACTACATTTCATATCCCAGTTAAAATTCAATTTTATTCATTACCATATCTTTAATTACCTTAAGTATTTTGGATAAAATTTCTTAAACTGGCTAAACTTTTCCTAAGTGACTATACTCATACAAACACACACAAAGACAATAATTCATTAGGTAAAAGACCTTGGATTTATCCTTAGTGTTTTGTTTCTAAATAAGGAATGCAAATTTAATGTAAGGCATTTATTAGTAAAACTGCAGTAGCCCTACATTTATTGATTCAATTTTTATTTCAATAACAAAAGTTTATTTTATGACTATATTTCTGAAACATTGTTTTTAATCTTTAATATTCATAGGCGTACTACAATTGTTCTTGCATTAAAGCGGGATTAACAACTCCAGATGTAGAAGGTGATTTTATTGATGCCAGGCCTGGGAAATGTGACACCAAGTGTCACACATTACCTGTGTTTTTCGCTTTGGTTTTTTCTGCAGTTGTTTTTGCTAGTTTTTCTGATGTGCCACTTACGCTAATCATCTTCCGGTATGTATATAGTATTTGCAATTATCTTTAATATAATACATAAGAAATATGAATTTAGAAATATTTCAGATTATTATAGTAAATTATTTTCTCTGTATTGTATGATAACAGAGGAGAAATTGTTACATTGTCAAAATTTATGTATATGTTTAATTCTTTTAATTTACTTGCATAAAATATACAAATGTAACATTTAGTTTAATTTTTACCTAAAATTAAGTGTATACATGTATTGAAATAGTACTCCTTAAATATGTAAAATTTTAGGTTTTTATGCATCGGGTACAAAAAAAAAAACCTTGAATAAACAACCCAATAGAATTATACTTAATCTAACCCATGGAAAATTAATAAATCAGAAAATTCTTAATTGTAACACAGTGGTGAGTTTAAAGTTGTTGGTTATAATTATTTATTGACTAATTCTATTTTAGCCAATTAAATTATGAGAAAATATCTGTGTCATCAATAAAGGAATATAACTTTTAAAATTTCCATACATAAATATATTATTCTAAATACAACCAACATTTGTTCTCCATGTTTTCTTCCCATATATATGATACCCATTTAATACTCATTTTTATCCTAATCACAGAATAATTAGGCATTATTTTTTAATTATTGTTTTTAAGAGGTTAACAGGAACCTTTGAGTCATAAAGTACCTGTACAGGTTGACCAGGTATCGAAGTATGGAAAGTAATAGTTTCTATCTGGGATCATTGGAAAATAGTATAGAGCATGACTTGTACTTGGTTCAGAACATAAGTGATTTTTTTATAGTGTAAGCACACGGGACAAGAACTTCACAGGGAAAATGAGCAGAGAAAGTAGAGGCAAAAATGTATGAAATGTGGCAAGGACTTTGTTAAGACAGGAATAGCATGATGGGAGACAAAAACGTCTAAGCCATTTAAGGGCTGGTCATGGGAAACCATTTATGTAATCTTATTGTGAATGGTGTTATCCTATGCACATAGCTGGGAGCCACTGAAAATAGTAAACCTCAAGGGTATAAATAATCAAATGTGTGTCTTAGATGTGATACATCGAAGATAGTGTGGAAGATGGAGCTGAGCAGAGAAATGGAGAAAAAGGAATTAGAATTAAAAAAGAACAAATAAAAAATGTAAAGAAAGAAAAGTAATTAGAATTTAGTAGTATTGTTTAGAGATAGATTTAGAATATATTTGGGAATTATCTAGTTTGGTTAAAATGATGAGCATGGGTATCAGGGGAGTGAGGGGCGCAGAGGTAGATGCCAGAAGGATTTAGAAGATGTTCTAGATGTTTAATTATGATTTCTCTGATGGGAATCTTCCCAACCCTGCTTTCCCTGGCAAGCATTTGCAGGGCTATGTGCTTTAACCTTATGCTGATATTTACCTTTAGGTGTCACTTGTGTTACCAGCTCACTTTTGACCTAACTATAGTACTTTTAATAGAGGATTTTCACCCATATGCATGGAAGAGATGTTCATAGTACATTGTAAAACAACAATAAAAACCATTTTTTCAGAACCAAAAAAATAATAAATAAAATAATGAGTGTTATTAATTTGATGTGCCGAGTATGGAATATACAGAAATAGATGATCATATTTAGACTTCAAGTTTAAAGAACTGAATGAATGATTACTCCATTAATTAAGATTGTAAAGTCAAGGAGAATAGAAAACTCAGATTGAAGGTAATTATTGCAGTGTTGAATATGCCTTATTTAAAGTTGATGTGAAATATCCAAGCAATTGTTCTCAGCAGTAAGATGAAAGAAATGATCATAATATTCCATAGGCTCAGTTCTGGATCTTCTCACTTCCCTTGAAAATCAGGCAGCACAATAAGGAAAATAACACATAAACACACACTATAATTCCAATACAGCTATGAGATAAACAAAAAAATAGTAAAGTTGAAATTATGTTTAAGTGTTGCTGAAGTTGAAGTGGGACTGAAAGTCAGCTTGTGGATTCACAAAAATTTTTATGAAGAATAGGAAATGGGGAAAGGACCTCAGAATTGACAGATCTCAGATTTGTCTGGCACATAATTCTTCTCAGAAAGAGAGGGACACACGTTGAGATGGATGTTCAGGAATCAGAGTCAGACCTAGGTAGATAAGTAAAGGTAGAGTCTCTCTGGATCAACAATAAGAGGGAATCTTGAAGAGTTCCCAGGAGGTCCAGGCCTGGCAAGCAAAAAGTGCCAGCAATATAAACTGAATGAATGCATAATTTTCAAAAGCAAAAAAAAGTGTAATGAGAGCTCAGAAACATAGGATTGGCAGTAGAAGTTCTTTTGAAGTAGGACAGATTTGAAGAGGCAGAGGATTTGTTGCTATACTAGTCATAATAGTCCTTATTTGGAAATAATACTAACTCAACAATTAATGAATAAATTTTGGCATCTTCATACAATCGATTACTACAGAGTTGTGCTGAACAGTATGGTGATTATTAACCATGTATGCTCTGTAAGTTAAATTCTATCTTCATATATATTTAATTCAGTATTAAATTGACCTATTGAGTAATTAAGTCCTTAATTCTAGTTATGGTATTTTCATTATGGAATTTCACTTCTTGCTTTTTAACTGAATTTAATTCTCTGATAAAAATTCTCTATCTTGTCATGTAATTTTTGAATATATTAAGCCCAGAAATTTAAGATATACATGCCAGATATATGATATCTGAAGATTCTGCAGGTTTATTTATATTTATTTTTCCACATTATTGTTTAAACTCCATTTTATTTCTTGGTTCTGCCTCATAAAATTTACAAATAATTTTTTAAATAATCATATGTTGTATTTTATGTTTCAAAAACAATAGAGGCTCTGGGTATTACATAACTCCAAAAAATTAAATGTAATTTTAATCAGGCAGCTAGAATAAGGATAGTTCCCTGAATGTAATTGATGATAGATTTAGGATTTTTTCATTTTTATTTTTAATTTCAATTATAGTTATAAATTCATATTAGTTGTATAGATTAATGGGTTTTTTGACATGCCTGTAAATGCATATATCATGACTTGTTTGAAAATGCACCTTCTCTAATATCCTTCTCCTCCGTCCCTTTTCCTTACCTGTTAGTCCCTTTTCTACTTTTCAGTCATTGTTTTTTATGTTTCCACAAATGAGAGAAAACATGCAATACTTATCTTTATATATCTGACTTTTTTTTTACTTAACATGATGACATTAATCAACAACAACAAAAAACAAGTTAATCTAATCAATCAGTAGACTAAGGATCTGAACAGATATTTCTAAAAAGACCAAATACACATGGCCAATAAATATATGAAAAGATGTTCAATGGCTTTAGTTACCAGGGAATTGCAAATCTAAGCTACTCTGAAATTCCCTCTTATGCCATTCAGAATGGCTATTATTAAAACAAATATAAAACAAATGCCAATTAAAAATATTGAGTAAAAGAAACCCTTATAGACTACTGGTAAGAATGTAAATTAGTATAGCTACTATGGAAATTACTATAGAGACTTCTCAAAAAATTAAAAATTTAACTACAAAGTGATCCACATATACCACTTTTGGTATATTACCCAAAGAAATGAAGCCAGCATACCAAAGAAATACCCATATATATCACAGTAGTCATTATTGCCAAAATAAAGAACCAGCATAGGTATCAGCAGATGAATGAATAAAAAATATTGTCTATATGCACAATAAGGGGATATAGCTCAGTAGGTAGTGTGTTTGTCTTGTATGCACAAGGCCCTGGKTTCAATCCCCAACACCACAAAAATAAAATAAAAATATATGCACAACAAAATATTATTCAATAATGAAGAGGAATGAAGTTGTACTATTTGCAGACAAATGATTGACACTTTGGGTTTAAGTCTTTAAAAGGCCTTATTAGGAGAGATAGATGAAAAAAATGATATTTTCTATTTTGTTTCAATCACAACATTTGATTGCTGATTGTGGTGGTGAGGAAAATGATCATGTCCATAATGACTCCTTTCCAGGATGTGTGTATGTGAAGTGAGTATCTACTGATGGTCCACTTCTTAAGATAGGGAGCACTAGGGGAAGAACAAAATGTTGTGTAAGACAGAAACCTATGTCTAGTATTGATGTCTTACAGGAAAGATATGGCCTAAAAAAAAAAAAAATGGTAGCTGTCACATAAGAGATGATGAAAGCTTCCTTTTATCTTTGAAGAGTACCTACAAATGTTCTGTTTACTCCATGAAATTCTTAAACCACAGTATGAAAATTTAGAAAAAAATTTTTAAAGAAGTATTCACCTTTATGTTATAACATAGTTATATCTCATTAAAATTTTGATTTTTATGTACATAATTTTCATCTTTAAGTTCATTAAATTGATATATTGGACACTCCTGGGAATCACCAAACATTTAAACATTATTTTCTGTATCAGAAAGATGTTGATGGCTCAAATCAAACTATAAATACTTCTTATTGACTTTATATGAGAGTATACATATGCTTCAGAGAGAACCACTGCCATGTTACATATTTAACCAAACTGCATATAATAAAAGATGCAGAGAATTATAGTTAAGCAAGTAATCAATACTTGTACTGTATATAAGAAGCTTTATACTAAAGTTTGGTCCTAAAATGTCACACTTTGCTTTTTATAACTTCTTTTTAAGCAATGTACTTGTAATAAAAGTATTAATTTTTTGTAATAATAAAATTATTAGCAAAGAGTTGGTTAATTTCTTTTCATTTTCCTGTTAGTAAGCATTTGAGATATAAATATATATTTATACTTAATTGATATGGGTAGAATTACATTTGTATTCCTACCCATATCAATTAAGTATTACAAAATACTATGCATATACTACATCTTTATAAATAAGTTATTGCAGATGAAAATATTGGTCATACTATATTGTTCAGATTTTAATACAAAGAAGCAAACAGTAAGCAGAGCTTATTTAAAATGCCCACATAAAGGGAATCTAAAGACTGGAGATGTAGCATAGTAGTAGAGCACTAATATGCGTTCAATCCCTAATGCCACCAAAAAACAAACCAAACTAACCAACCAACCAAMCAAACAAACAAACAAACAAAAAACCAAAACAATAAAAACCTCATAGCTGCTGGACACGGTAGTCCAAGCTTGTCATTCCAGGGACTGTGGAGGCTGAGGCAGGAGGATTACAAGTTCAAGGCCAGCCTCAGCAAATTAGTGAAAAAAATTGCCTCAAAATACAGAAAAAGCTGGAAATGCAGCTCAGTGGTAGAGTACCTCCGAGTTCAGTCCCCAGTGCCACTAAATAAATAAATAGGAAAATAAAATAGAAAATGAAAGGAATCTAAGGCAATGACATACATGACCAAATGAAGAACATAAAAGGATGGAAGCTAGTTATTTCAAGAAAGCAAACAGAATCTGAGGCAGAAAATTTTGGTCACAAAGTTCTTTCTCGTTGTGAAGCACAAAGAGCTTTGGGATTTGTTGGCAACAGGTAAGAAATGGAGAAATGGGAGGAGCTGCACTCCTTTAATGTGTCAGATCAAATTCTGCCAACTGGCCATAGGTTCTTAGTACAACTGATACACAAGAAAAAGAAATTAACATTGAACCTAGCATACATTATGCATTGCTAATAATATCTTCATTATTTTCTTTCAGGGTTGTACCAGGGAAACTCCATTCTTTGGCCTTGGGTATATCGTATGTCATTTTAAGATTACTTGGTATGGACTTTAAGCAGCTATTTTTTATTACATCCAGTTGTTTGAGTTTTGATATGTATGTGTTTATATATGTATTTATAATTAAATAATTTAAAATGACACGAAACAAGTGAATAGGAGAGGTGTTTTGAAAAATTCAGGAGGCAATAAATGTAAAGACAGAATACCTAATGTACTGCCAGTTCTTTTATACAAAACATACACCCATTATATTGGATCTGAGGAGTATCTGAGAAATTTCCTATAAAGTATATTCATCATCTCATAAAAGTGGGTTGAGGAGCTCACACAAAATACTTGTATTAACTTTACATTTCTTGCACTTTAGGGAAGTCACTAAACTAGAGTAGTGCTTTTGAATATTTTCATCACCAAAGACACTGAATCTGTTGTTTTTACAGATTTGCTTATTTTCAAGAATAAATTGTTTTTTTCTGGGGGTAATGAGCTCCTTTCTTCAGATTTTCTTAAATAACAAGATCTATATTTCAAACCACTTTATGACTGTATTATAATTCCTGATTTAAGAAGTTGATTAAAAATATCATCGGAGAAAAGAAACAAGATTGGACTGGATTAAAGGCTGCAAAGTATGCAGTACAAAAATGTAGAAGTTGTATGTTGGGCTCTGATAGGGAGCAGAGAAATAATTTTAGTTCAATAGATGTGATTCAAATTAGCATTTTAACATGGAAAAATTAGAACATGAGTTTTATGCTGGACAATGACCCAACAGATCAGAAAATATCTGTAACCAAAGAAATAGCACAGGGAACAGCAGTGCATAGGCCAGTTTGCTGCCGCAAAAAGAAGTCAGTGAGGCTGATGTATTTTTGAATTGGAAAGATTATATTGTAGATATAAACAAACAGAAGATAGATATTAGCTTATGTACATTTTAAGAACTCTGCTGGTATAAAGGCAAATAATTATGAGAAAAATGTAGAGGAAAAGAAAAAGGAGGCTTTTGGTGAAGTTTAAGAATCATATTAAATTGGAAATCTGGGGTTTTGGTGGCTAAAGAAAGAAATCAGTATATCCAAGATATGTTTGGAATCTGTGTTACAACATTTATGATGTATTGGAAAAAGATGATGAGAAGTGAAAAATAATATGTGGTAGATGTAGGTTTTTCACTTTGAGCAACTATAAAAAGACCGAGATGGGGAAATTGGTAGACATCAAGAGTCATGAGGCACCAACACCCTAATAATTTCTTAAGAAAGTTGATCAACCATTACCAATGTTTAATTCTGAGAACACAATTCTGGTGACTATGGGGAAACTGTGCATGTGACTGCTCATTCACTTTTTGATGAAAGGAAAAAGTGTTGCTGGTGAAGAGCTGTTGTCTATGAATCATGTAAAAGTTTCCCTTAGGCAGCACAGCTGTCCTTCAGGATCTCAGGTCATCTGACTCTGCGACTACCATAAGCTTATCAAGACGTTTTCATTTTGAGTTATTTTTCTAAGTATCTTGATAAAAGATATACAGTGCCAACCCTTTTTTCAGTCATTCAAAATTTTGCAGTTACATATCTTTGAAGATATACTGAGTTCACAAAAATCAGTACTTGGTATCTCTGTTCAAAATATTTTATTCTAAACTTTTCAAGTAAAAACCAACAAATTTTTTGAGATGGCTTTGAAACAAAAGCATGTACAAAAATTCTAAAAAAGATTCCAATGTACAAATATATTTATACATATAGGGATAAGAATATTTAAAAACTCATATTATTTCCAGTAGTTAACAATCTTAACCAGAAGTGATTCTTTGATGATTTAAGTTATATATTTAAAATGATGATGATGATAATGATGATGATGATGATGATGATAGTGGTATGTGTGGAAATTCTAAAGGAAATTATTATGATCCTGATCAATGGTGTTTTATGGAGAATTTACAATCATTAAATATTTTACAGGAACAATTCCTGGACCAGTCATTTTTAAAATGGTAGGAGAAACTTCTTGTACCTTTCGGGATATTAATCATTGTGGACGCAAAGGACGTTGTTGGATCTATAACAGGACAAAAATGGCCTACCTACTGGTAGGACTATGTAAGTGGCATATATTATAGAAACTTAGAAAAATAAAATTGCTTTAAACACTTATGTTTGTTTATAGTAGAGTGATAATAAACCACAAACTAATAGTTTGATAATTAAAGTAGGCTTATATGATTGTATAGAAAATATTTTGGAAACAAATACTATAGAATTATATAAATATTTGATCAGTGTGTTAAATACACAATAGTTTCATGTTATTTTTATGGTTTGGATCTGGAATGTCCCCCTTAGTTTCAAGTGTTGAAGGCTTGGTCCCCAATGCAGTAATGTTAAGAATATTGGGGAAGTAATTGGATCTTGAGGGTTCTGAGATCATCAGTGGGTTCATCATTTGATGGCATTAGTGGGAAGGGGTAGAAACTTCAGGAAGTGACCTAGATGAAGGAAGCGGTTCCTTGTAGGTGTGCCCTGGGGCAGTATATCTTGTTCCTGGCCTCTTCCTCCCAATCTCTCCGTTTCTAATCTCCATGAAGTGAAAAAGTGTATTGCTATACTCTTCTGCCATGATATTCTGCCTCATCATAGACCCAGAAACAATGTAGCCAATAAACCATGGACTGAAATCCTGGAAACAGTGCACCAAAAAACCTGTTCCTCCTCAAAGTTGTTTCCTTTAGGTATTTGACACAGAAACAAAAGGATGATTAACACAGTTATTCCAGAAGAAAGGGTTATAATCAGTAAAAAATTAAATTTAGGAAGTAATTCTGCCTGTGTAGGCATCAGCAACCACATTTCTTGACCTTGTGACCTTTTCCAGTTTCACTGTAAATGATTAAATAAATTTGAGCAAAAAAAAAAAAATTATACCACGAAAGATCATCAAGATACTGTTATCACACTTAAATAACTTGACATTTTCTCTTTTGTTTATTAAGTAAGAATGCTTGGAACATAGCAAGCATTCAATATTTCTTGAATAAATAAGAAATATAGGGAACTGGGATGTTGTGTGGGTGGAAGCTATGGTCGTGGTTAGGAAAGTCTACATATGTCAGTATTTGGAAAATTCACTGTGTGATTCTGGATCTTAATTTAGTCATTTAATCATGATATTGTGCTACATAATTTCTAAAGTTTTAATAAATAATCAAAGTATGTCTTAATATATAAATACTTTTATGTAATAAATATTTCAAAGTATTTAAATATTTTGTGTTTTTACTGAATAGGACCAGTAATTCAAGGAGCCACATAATTACAGATTCTAATATTTAATACAAATAAATATATGTTTGATAGACAGTATAGAGCAATGCCTTGGAATTTAGAATTCAGTTACCCAGCAGTTGAACCCATACTGAATACTGGGTAAAACAAGAAAATTAAATTAAAAAGCCACTTGACATTTAATGTGTAGAAATTAACTTTGGTCAGAATTAATAAAACTAGGGATTATTCTTAAGTGTTCTTAAAACATTGCTGAGATTTTTAATTTTTATGATAGACATAATATAGTTAGCTCTTTTCAAACACAACRCATAATTGAGAAAGTTAATGAACTCTAGAGAACCCACTATGGACCTACTAAAAGAAGATACAAAATGTAAAGTACATAATTATAGTCAGATAGAAGGCACAAAGACAGGAAAATGCCAAAAGAATATGTACTGTGACAATTTTGTGTAATCTTATTTATGGTTTTAAAATAGTTTGAATGTGTCTCCCAGAGGTTAAAGAGTTGGAGGTTGGTACCCAGTGTGGCAATGTGATGAGGGATAGAACTTTTGAGAAAAGTGACCTCATAGGAGGTCACTAGGTCACTAGGGTCTCTGCCCTAGAATTCATGTACCTCTCCTGGGACTTTGATTAATTCTCACAATAGGATTGTTATTAAAGAGAGATTGGCCTGTCCTTACTTTGACTTCCAGTCTCTCCCTCTCATGTACACTCCCTCCATGATGCTGTTTGCCTATAATACAGGCAAGGGGACCGTTGGCCCTTTAACATCTGAAACTCTCAGCTAAATAAACTATTACTTATAATTACAAGTCTCATTTAATAATAGCAATGTTAAATGGATTAACAGAACCAGTACATTTAAAAAATGTATTCTATGTGTGTCTTTGTCTGTTTTATGATACTTTTATAAGAGACTACCAGAGAGTAAATCAATTATTAAAAAATTATATCTCATAGTTTTGGAGGCTAGAAGACCAAAATTGAATGCTTCACCTGATGTGGCCTTCTTGCTGGGTTAAAATATGATGAAAGTATCACATGGTGAGAAAGTATGCATGGGAGAGAGGGCGGAAGTGAGCAAGAGAGTAGGTGGGCATAGGAGGGGGCTGGAACTCATGAGTATTTAYCACTAACCCACAATTTTAATAACCAACTTAATCCTACAATGACTGCATTATTCTATCCATGAGGATAGAACTCTCAYGAACCTATCATCTCTTATTAGGCTACTTCCTAATATGATTACATTGAGAATTAAATTTCTAACACAAAAATTTAAGGGCATTGGAATCATACACAAAGTTTCTTTGAATCAGAATTATTTAGAATTCTTATTCAAAATTATAAATTCTGAATCATTAAGTTAAAAATTCACAGTTGTGGAGGATATCATCAAAATGACAGAACACAACTTTCTAATACTTGTTCCTTCATAGAAACAATTTGTCTGATTTTCCACACATGAAAATATCTTTGCAAGGGTTAAGGAAACCAGGTAAGAGAACACAGCACCTAGGTGTAGCATACACGTAACAAAATGCACATTGAAGACTATCGGATGTAAGTTTCACATTACTCACATCACCTTTCCCCAACATATGCACTTTGGAACATCCTGCATTGGGTAAATGAATACTAGGAAAACACCTAATTTTGCTGAGGACCCCAAATCAAGCCTACCTTAGTGAAAAACAACTCCAGATTAGCCCCAAAGAACTGGGTCCCAGTCCAACAACACTCCAACTGACCAAGCCCTCAGGCCTATGCCAACTATAGGATTACCTCTAAGTGTAAACTCCAGTTTAGCTCCTTCAGTACTTACCATGTGTCAGACTGGTACCAKGTTGGCATTGATAGCCCAGCCTCAAGGATTGATCCTTAAGATACATATTTTAGGCCTAAATAGCCCCAAGCTGGCTCCTGTTATTCCTTGGTTCAGGATAACCCTAGTAGACTTTGGTACTAGCTGGCACCCACAGATCCAGGATTCAGGACCTTTGTAGAGTCAGATTCACAGCCTCCTCTGTGCCAGGTCACTATGAAAACAGCTTGATATATGAAAATAGCTTTCACAGAATGAAGGTTAAAAATCACAATAAACTCAATATAGGCAGAAAAGATATCTGACAAAATTTTTTTTTAAAGACAGAGTGAGAGAGGAGAGAGAGGAGAGAGAGAGAGAATTTTTAATATTTATTTTTTAGTTATTGGCGGACACAACATCTTTGTTGGTATGTGGTGCTGGGGATCGAACCCGGGCCGCACGCATGCCAGGCGAGCGCGCTACCGCTTGAGCCACATCCCCAGCCCCTGACAAAATTTAATATCATTTCATGATTAAAAACTCAGAAAATTAGATTTAGAAAAAAATGTACCACAACATAATAAAGGCCATATTTGACCAGCCCATAGCTACCATCATAACTGTGATAATCTGAAAACTTTTCCTGTAAAATCAGGAAAAAAAGCAGGGATTGTCACTTTCTCCATCCCTATTCTATTTAATATGGGAAGTTCAAGCCAGAAAAATTAGACAAGAAAAATATAATACACACTAGTAAGGAGAAATAAAATTACCCATTTGCAGATGAAAAGGTCTTATATGGAGAAAACCCTTATACCTCACTAAAGATATGATTTAACTAGTAAATGAATTCAGTAAAGTTATAAGACACAACTCAACATACAAAAATTAGTGGTATTCTATAGATTAAAAATAGCTATTTAAAAAAATAACAAAAGCATCCCATTTACAGTAGTGTCAACAAGTAACAGTGCCCTAGTTTAAATATGGTTTAATTGTATCCCCCCAAAGGTTTATGTGATTGGAGGCCTAGTTCCCAGGGAAGTAGTACTTGGAGATGCTGTGGAGCATTTAAGAGGTAAAGATTGGTGGGAAGTCCTTGGGTCATGAGGGTAGGGCATAAAGTACTTCTTGTACAACCCCTTCAAAGTTCTCATGTAACCCCTTGATAGTTCTCATGAGAAAGTTGTTATAAAAGAAGGAAGTCTGCCTACCCTACTCCCACCCTGTCCTTCTATGAGATGCTTCCCATTAGACCTCACCTCCTAAACTTTCCATGACACCTCCAAATACCACTACACTGAATATGAAGCCTCTAATCACATGAAACTTTTTTTTTGGGGGGGGGTTGGGAGGGGTGCAATTAAACTATATCTAAACTGAAGCAGATCTGAACAGACATTTTTTAAAAGAAGATATAAAAATGGCAAATAGGTATATGAAAAAAATTATCAATATCACTAATCATCAGGGATATACAAATTAAAACCACAATGAGAAATTATATAATCTAAATTAGAATGACTATTATCAAAAGACTAAAGATAAGTGCTATTGAGGATATTGAGTAAAGGGAGATACTGAACACTGCTGGTAGAAATGTCAATTAGTATAGCTATTATGAAGCTTTCAAAAAATTAGCAATATAGAACTACCATAAGTCACAGCAATTCCACCCCTGGGTGTATATACAGAGGAAATGAAATTAGAATTTTGAAGAAATATCTGTACTCACATGTTTATTCCAGCTCTATTCACAATAACCAAGACATGGAATCAAACCTAAGCTCCACCAACAGATGAATGGATATTAACAATGTGGTATGTGTATACCATGGAATACTATTTGCTCCTAAAAAGAAGGAAAACCTCCCTTATGACTACATGGATGAATCTGGAGGCATTATGTCTATAGAGCATGTTCTATTACTATAACAAAAATACTTGAGGCTTGGAATTTTGTAAAGAAAAAAGATTTTGGATTCTGAAATTTCAAAAAGCACTGTGTCAGCTCCTTCAAGGGTTCCCTGGTCTGCATCAAATCATGGCAGGGTAAGGGAGCATTATGAGAGGGAGAGGATTGCATGTCAAAGCTCGAAGTTGGAGAGCCATTAAGGGGTCACACTTATTCTTTACAATAATTTGCTCATGAGAATTAATTGGTATCTCATGAGAACTCTCTCATTTCCTTGTAATAACAGTAACCCCTATGTCCTAAGGATCTCCTGCTATGCCTTACCTCTGTCATTGCTACCTTGTGGACCAAGCTTCTAACACATGAACCCTGGGAGGACAAAACAGATTCAATACACAGCAAGTCACTGGAGGTCTCCAAGGCTTTTGCCCTTCTCCTACTAAAAAAAACATGCCACCCCCATAGTTACAGTCTTAGCTCATTCTAGCATCTCTCAAAACTCCCAAGTCCACAGTCTCTTTTGAGATTTGTGACAACTCTTTCAGCTGTAGTCTTTATAAAACACAAATGGGGAAAAATTATGTACTTCTAAAATAGAATCATGAAATTGTATTTTAAATATTCCAACTCCAAAAGGAAGAAATAATGAAGCAGAGAGAGAAAAAAGAATCAGCCCTATGAAGACTGAGACGGAGGAGGGGGGCAGACATTAAATCTTAAAAATCCAAGTCTGGCATTCTGGGAGCACAGTGGTGAGTGCTGGGTTCCCAAGGCAGCCCTGCCCCATGCTTTGCTCTTCAATGGTGAATATGGATCACAAACGGTTTCTCTTTCAGTCTGGTATTGCAGGTTTTTCTGGTGGTGCTCTATGCTGCTGCTTACTCTGCCTTTCCTATGTCTCCTCTATGGTTTTGCTCTCATGGGTCCAGTAGGCATTACTCCATAGTGACCTTTCTGAATGGGCTCTTACACTATAGCAAATTTCTGAGTAGCTTCCCAGGTTTTCCTTTGCATTTTGGTCAAAGCTGCCATAATCTTATAACTTGCATTTCTCATACCTGCAAAACTATCAACATATAGATGAGCATGGTGGTGCACACCTGGAATCCTGCCAGCTTAGGAGGCTGAGGCAGGGGGACCACAGGTTCAAAGACAGCCTCAGCAATTTAGTGAGGCCCTGTCTCAAAAAAAAAGTATTTTAACAGAAGATTTTGATGTTGTCTGGCCTTACCTAATGTCCTCAGATAATTTGCCTGCTACAGTTATTCTCTTCTTGAAAACACAACAAGCCTAATTTCTCAATTTATCCTCCAAAACTGTACCTACAGGAGAATGTTATACAGTTAATTACTGTTTTGTAATCTTAGTATTGTCACAACTATTTCAGAGATAACTCTCTCTTTACAATTGGTATTCCCAGGGGCTGGGGTTGTAGCACAGCGGTAGAGTGTTTGCCTAGCATATGTGAAGCACTGGGTTCGATCCTCAGCACCACATGAAAATAAATAATTATAAAGATCCATCAGCAACTAAAAAACACAAATGGTATTTCTGGGCTGAGGTTGTGTCTCAGTGGTAAGAGTGCTTGCTTAGCATGTGTGAGGCACTGGGTTCCATCCCCAGTACCACATAAAATATAGTAAATAATAATGCATATGAACTATATCAATTTAAAAAATGGTATTCTTCCCTTAAAATACATGAGATATTATTGTCATTATAAGTGATACAGATTCATGAATGTTTCCTATTTTATCTTTTGATATTTCTATACCAGATAATTGGTATTGCTGCCATACAATAGTTAATACTTTAACTGACAGGGTTTTTGCATCCAAAATTTAATACTTTTATATAATATTATGAATAACTATYAACTTTCTGAAAATTTAAGACATAAAAATGAAGGACAAATACCTACAAAATCACTTGCATTTTCCATAGTATTTCTATTTATATTTGGAAAACTGTAAATGTTTCAAAGACTAAAGCTACATGAAGTGATATAAACAGGTTCCAGTTCATATTGATAGTTAAGTTCTGAAAGTACAATTTATTTTGTTTTAATATTAACACATTCTAGTACTAATAATACACTTTGCATTTGGGGGGAGTACATGCATAAACCATCTGAAATGTTTTGGAAGCATATTTTTATCTCCTTTAAGTAACTTTATATGAGTTTATAACATTAATTACATTCTACATTTGAAGAATTTATACCTTTAGAGATGAACTATACTTTTCTTTGGTAAATGACTTTATTTCCACAAGTATTTTGTTCTAAATAAACTCATAATATGATCCTTCATTTCTAAAATTTCAGGTTTTTTGTGCAAAGTATTCACTATCTGCTTAACTACTATTGGATTTTACTTTTTCAAGTATTTTAAAAAGGAAAATGCTGAAGTTGTCCAGCCTATACCTGTGAAATATATAAACCCTAAAAAAACAGGAAAGGAATAACTTGTAACTGGATCTTCACTGTAAGTATTTAACATTTTAATCTATCAAAGTAATATTATAGTAATAAAATTTTAATAATAATAGTTATATGTTTAAAAAATGTTTTATATAGTCACAAATTTTGTATTATATTTTAATAACAAATATAATAATACAGTCTGTGTTTCAAATTTTAGAAGATATATTATGAGATTCACATTTAATACTTTTAATAAAAAATTATATTTTGAAAGGGAAGGTTGAAATGGAAATGGGAAAATATACATAGGCTAATTCTGACTGCTGTGATATTCTGTTAGTTACTGGACTTTGGCTATGTGTAGAATTGTAGGATTAACTGTATTTCTTATAGTCTATGTTTTTTAATTCACAGATGGGTTAATAATGTTGATTTCCCAATATTTTTCTAAATAAAATTAGATTTTCCATTGCAGGTAACATAATGTAAATTTAAGCTAAAGTCACATTTATTTTCTAAAACTATATTTTAAGCCTTTTGAAAGTTAAAATTGTATTTATTGATGATTTGATATGGAGAGGTTTCTCCATAAAATTTCTGTGGTTAACTGACCAGTTTACAATATGTATTTTCTTGTTCCTTTTATTTTGGTAGCCGTAAAATTCAACATGATCGTGTGGTAACTTCTACATTTTTACCTTCACTTGAGTTTTATTGATGAAGAATAACTGATAAGCTGAATTGACATTGTTTTTGTGCTTTTATACTTCATTTTATTATTAATAATATTCCATGTGAGAAAATATTAACATCTGAAGAAAATCTGTTAATCATTTATAGACTCTTTTGTTAGCTAATATGTGTTTCTGGAGAAATATTTTGTGATTCTTTTGTTATATATCATTTTAATTAAATTATACTTTTCAAATATTGGATAAATATATGATTGTTGTAAAACAAAAAATGTTTTCAACAATGTTACCTCATTCTCCTTGGAGAAGCTATAACTGACAAAAATTCTCCTTTGTTAGTTACATTAATCCATGACTGTGTGAAAGGATGATTCTGTTTGTAGTCATATGTAAAGCAGAAACAAATGTAGAACAAGGAATATTCATATTTTGCTATTTGTTTTTTAATCAACATACATTTATGAAAATTTGTAGTCTAGTTTTTTATATTAAACTCTCCTTGACTGCCTGATTCATCTCTCTTTGAACCAGCAGGATTGCTAATATCTGAGGCTCAGAGTGTGAAAACAGGAGTTTCTCCTTTAAAGAATCTACACAATTTGCTGCTGTGCCCTATTCTCAGAAGAGAAAAATCACACATGATATTTATCTAGTTGGAGAAAAGAATTTATGATGATTTGTATTTTCATAATAAAGTAACTTCTTGTGAAAAATTTTTGATAATGTTTTTATCGATGTAAGATTTTTACATGTCAGCTTATAATATAGTTCTTATTAAGAAATTAAAGGAAAATAAGGGGAAATAGGAGGGTATCCCATGAAAACAGAAGGAAGATCAGTGTCAGTGAAGATCAGTGTCAGTGAAGATAGAGAAAGGGGAGACAGGGGGAGGGAGGAGGGACAAGAAAAGGGACAAACTATGGAATAAAAAGCCAAATTATGCTATGTACACATATGAATATACCAAGTGAATTCCACCTTTTATTTATACTTATGAAGTACCAATTTTAAAAACTATAAATAAATTGAAGGAAGACCAATTGAGTGGAGAAGGGAACAGGGGGAGGGAGAAGGGGAGGGTGAGAGGAAGTACTGGGAACTGAAGAGGAACAAATTGTACTTCATGCCTGTATGATTATGTCACAGTGAGCCCCARTATTGTGTATAATACAGTAATAAAAACATAAAAATAAGCATAAGTAAAAATTAAGAAGTAAAGTTTTAAATTTTAAAATTATTTTCTTAATATTTTGCTGTCTGAAAATGTATACAAATAGGGCTGGGTATATAGTTCAGTTGGTAGAGTGCTTGCCTCGCATGCACAAGGCCCTGGGTTCAATCCTGAGTCACACACACACACACACACACACACACACACACAAATGTAATACAAATAGAAAATGAGATAAAGATAATAAGATTTAGGTCAACTTTGAAGGTACTTGTAATATGTCTGCTTCTTTGTGTGTATGTGTAAGTACATGTTGTCAATATCTTGCTTTCTCTTCAGAAAACAAATGAAGCAAAGGTTTGTTTTAACAAAATTWTAGTAAGTTTGGTAGTGGTGCTAAGACTAATACAAAACTGTGTTTCTGTATCAAAAACCATTGTATAGGGGCCGGGATTGTGACTCAGCTGTAGAGCAGTCSCCTAGCACATGTGAGACCCTGAGTTCGATCCTCAGCACCACATAAGAATGAAATAAAGATAATGTGTCCAACTACAACTAAAACATAATGAATATTTTAAAAAATTAACAAAAACATTACATATAAGGCATTGGTAAAGAGGAAAGTGATGTAAATATAACCCATCAGTTCCTTTGGTTAAAACCAATGTAAGTGCTTTTAAAATAGAACAAAGTTTCTCAGTATTGAAGAGGGGATGATCAGCAAAAGTTTTAAAAGTGCAAAAAAATACATTAAGTGAATTCCTTTGGAATCAGTTTGTAATAATTTAATCCATTTAAGAATTGTGCTTTTTGGCAATGATATTTTAAAAAATGATATTTTTTTTAAATATTTTTGTAAATATCAGATTTTTTATTTTGATGAAACTGATGTCTTCTGGAAATTCATACCTTGGAAGATCACTATCTTTTTGATTATAAATTGACTACTTAGAGTTGTAAAGCTTTACAGGATCCACTGTGATGTTATAATTTATGAATACAATGTGGCATAATTAAATCATGCTACTTAAACATATCCTTCACCTCACCTACTTCTTAAAGGCAGATGACGACCTTAGCATTTAAATCTACAAAAGCCTGACTATGATATTGGATAAAAATGCTAGTAGACATTGAACTGTGTTAATTTTAATTAAAACAGTAATTATTTTTGTTAGGTTTCTCTTTGTAAAATTGCATATCTTTTTGAGTGATTTACATCAATAATATTTTCTCCATAAATTCACTTTTTTTCTGATGCTTTATTTTGCCTAAAGAAATATTGTAAATTAATGCACAAAAATATTTTGGTGGAAATCCTTATGTTTTAAAATCAATGAGAATTTCTGTTTTCTAATGCACTTGGATCAAGTCTTAATGTAGCTGCTATGAAAATGAAAATCCTAGTTTATCAGTCTTTTTCTTTCTTTCTATTTGTTTCTCTTTCTTTTGGTGGTGCTGGGGATTGAACCCATGGCCTTGTGCATGCTAGGCCTGGTCCCTACTACTGAGCTACATCCCCAGTCCCTCAGTAGTTTTGTTTTTTGTTTTTGTTTTTCCTGAATTCTTTCATATTTGTTTAAGATTTTGTGCTTATAGCATTTAGTATTTGATCTTTTATATGTATCCTAGAACAGTTCAATTTTGGGTTTACTAACAGTTTACTCTCCAGTTCATTGCACTGCTAAGAATTTACTCTTGATTACTTATTTTAGTATACAGTCATGGAGAAATAAAGACATGCTTTTAATCAGTTATCTTATTCCCAACTTCAATTTAAAAGCACTTCTTATAGACTCTTAAGCTAAGTGAAAAAAGAAATCCCCCTCCAAAAAAATAAAGGTGGAATGTTTTTTCTGATATGTGGATGCTAACACACAATAAGGGTGAGGAGGTAGAATAAAAGTTCAGTGGATTAGACAAAGGGGAAGGAGAGAAAGAGAAGGTAGACGAGAATARGATAAACAGTGGAATGAATCTGACACAACTTTCCGATGTTCATATATGAATTCCACAGTGAAACTCTATATCATGTACAACCACAGACTGGGATCCTAATTAGAATAAGTTATACTCCATGTATGTACAAATATGTATAACTAAAAAGACAAAATATAAAAGCACTCCTTATGTTTTTAATATTCTCTATTATAATCTTTAATTTGCATATAGTACAATATTGGTTTTAATATCTTAAATCTAAGAATACTTATTGAGGGTCTGAAGATCTGCTGTTGAAAACACTGATAATTATTGTGTACATCTATTACTGATTATTGACAAGGAAGTTTCACTAAATAGTGCCTTGCATAAAAGGTTTTCTATATACCATTGATTATAGCACTTTTCTATAAAATACCAGTTTACCAGTTTAATAACCATGCTAACTTCTAAATGTTTACCTATTATTTATACTTGAAAGGTCTAGTTTAGAAAACAATAGAGAATGTATCCCTGTTTTTATTGGAAAGCAAAGGCACATATCACACAAAATGTTGTATTTAAGTAAGCATTTGAAATTAAAACTTCTGTATTTCATATTTGTAATGGGGTAAACTAACTTATTTTTCTCTATAAACTATTCTATTCTTAAAACATAACAGTACCTAGTAGAACTTTGTGTTCTTTTTTCCTTTTTCCTTGTGCTCAGATAACACTTTCCATTTTTTTTTACACACAGAGAAATTACTTACATGATAGTAAACTCACAGGAGGATATTACAATCTTATTATTATGAAAACCTGTAGTCACAATATTTATCTGTTAATTGAAGTAACTATTAACACTGCTATTTGAAAGTACCTTAATGTTTATGATGAAATAAATCTTACATTAAAAACAGCAAAAAGAAAATTATATTTATGTACTGAATTGCCTTTTAATCTCTAGTCACTGGTTCTCAGAGAAACAAGAAGAGTGAAAACAGAAAGTGTGTGATTTTCAATGTGTACATGTGTCTGTTTCAAAGGTAGAAGACAGAGAAATTTCTTGTCTTGCACAAAATTAAACTGRGGGATAGAGTAGTTGAAAAAATTAAAATGAGCCTTATATTTATTTATAATATGCGCTTCTGTATGAATTTTGGGACTGCCTTTTCAGTTCTGTGAAGAATACTATGAAAAATGTCATTGACATTTTGAATGATAATATTGAACCTGTAGATCACTTTTTATAGTG